ACATTGCTACAACTTTAAAAGCACAACTACAATGACGTGGGAAAATACCCGAACAAAGCTGAATGCCATATATATATATCTCCCATAATTATGGTGGTACTTCAGTACTCATCATTAGTTGGTTCCAGGAGGCATGATGAGTACTAAAAACAATGAGTACCAAACAAATAATGTGACTTACCGTGTGACCCTTTGTTTCTGCTGGGAAGGACTTCCTGTCTGTCCCTTTTCCTATGTCAGCGACTGCGCAGCATGGTTGACTTCCTGTCCACCCTCTTGGCTGTCCTCTTCCTTTTGCCACTATCTTCCCAGTATGGCTGACTTCTTGTCTGTTCTCCACGGCCATCCCCCTTTTTCTATCACTGTGCTTCAACTACCAAACAAATGAGTACAGGGACTGTTTTCACATCAAAATGTGTTGGGTATCAAATTCAGTGAGTTTTGAAGCAGTCAAATACCGAAGTATCACTGTATGGCAAAAATTTAAAAACCCCTATTAATATTTATTGGAAAAAAATCATCTTTTTTCCCCATTTCCTTTTTAATAGTATTGCTTAAATAGATCTCAAAAATTCTATTAAGAATGAATAGCAAAGGCTGTCTGTTATTGAGATAAATAAAAGTATTCAAAATGCGGAATGGCAATCATTATGCTTCTGCTTCTGGTTATAAAAAGTTCTAAAAATTGTGATATTTTGCTATAGCTGCATACAGAAAATTAACATCAGTTAAATTATCAGCAATTGTTCAATCATTTTATTAGTCAGAAATACTTTTATATTGTTATACCATGAAAAAGGACATAGTTTATGTCTGAAAATGACTATTTTCTAACTTTTCTGTTTTTTTTATAAAGACAGTTAACATTTCATCTAGAAACATATAGTAGTTTAGAAGTGAAATATGAAATACTTTTAGTGATAGATTCTCTTGTGTTTTTTTTAAACAGGTGAATGAAAGAGGTGGGCAGATAATACAGTATGATAGATTCTACATACATGAAATACAGGATTTAATCGATATAAGAAATGACTACTTCAACTGGATCCAGCAGCAGGCATATGGAATGGTAAATGTCTTAATTTTTGCTCCCACTGTATCTTTAAAGTGTGTTACATGACCACATAGATAATCCAGTTCTTCATTTTTATTATTTCCAACCATTAGAAAGCATATTGCATGATTTTGGCCATACAAAATTAGGCTCTGGTGAGAAACGTATGTCATTTTTGGGCTGTGTTTTCTTGTAGGGATTTTTTCTCTCTGTGGCAAAGTATGTCTAAAACAGATTTATGTTGGGATAAAGCTATCTAGAATGCTTCTCAGTTTTCCTGTTATTTCTGTTATCTGACAGAATGTCAGTGTGTCATATATCTATGTTTTTATCAGCACTGGAGAAGCACTGACATATGCTTTCAAAGTAGTTTCAGGTAGACCTTGCTACCTTTGATAATAAGCAACATGGTGGTAAGGCACACATTGTCATGTTACTTGGCCAGCTTAAGACAGGAGTTCTTGCAGTCTCCGTTGCCATTATTAAGCAAATTGCACACAGTCACAATGTCCTGTGATCACCATTTGCAATCTTGTGCTGGCTTTCTCCTTGATTTTGCTTGTTGGAAACAGGAAATGAAGGTGGCAAATAGCAACCACAGGATGCTATGGTGTTATAATTGGGAGTTGGTTGCTAAGCGCCCGAATCACAACCGTGATTATGGGGATGTTGCAACAGCCACAACTATGAGACCAGTTGGAAGTCTCCATTCAATGCCATCCTAATTTTAAGCAGTCACTGAATAAGAGGTCATTAAGCGGGAACTGTCTGTATCAAGTATGCGGTGCTGAGTTTAGGTAGAACAGTAAAGGAAGTGACATAATCGGCAGTTAGAAGACAAAGATAAGATACAAAACTTGAATTTGTTCAGTCACTTGAAATTGCAAAGTAAGATTGTATCTGGTGACCCCTTTGGGCTATTTAAAGTGTTTGAGCTGCATTGCAGATGATAATAGCCAATTAAATAATTTTTTAAAGCCCATTTATTCCAGGTTTAAAAAGTTAAAGAAGTCCTTGAATTAAGCTATAATTAGGAAATTAGCAGCAACAGCAGCACAAAATTAGTTTGCATTCTTCTAGGATGTTCTTCTTACACATTTCTGCTGTCCTGGAATTCCATGATAATTTTCCATTTGATTACTAGTGAAATTCTGATTTTGTTGACACTGAGCTTTCTGAACAGAGAACACAATCTCCTGCAAGCATTTGTAGAAAAAATATAAAGAACATTCCCCTTCCCTCTTCTACGTGGGGCGAGGAAGGAGAAAAATGTCATGTAGCTTTTTTAAATGAGCAGCTGCCCTAATGTCAGAGTAACAAAACTAATTTTGTTCAGGCATTTCCTTATCTTCACATTTCATATCTAACTTTGTTTTCTGTATTAAGAAAATCTATCTTTCCGGTCCCTTAGAAAACTTGACAGGTATTAATTAGTGTTACATGCATATTGTATTAAAAATGTCAAGCACAAACTTGAATACGAAGGTACTTATAATATGGGGGGAAAGTGATATATTTGTGTTGGAAATGTGACAGATTCCCCAGGTTGTCAAGTGTCTCTTGCTCAGAATTGTTTATCTCGAGTGTCTGGTATGTTTCTTGTTTTGAGCTCTCGAGCACTAATTGAGCTAAAGCCAAGATCAGAACGTGGTTTCTTAGTTTATACTGAAAGTTGTACTAAATCAAAGTAAATCAGAGGTCTCCAAACTTGGCAACTTTTAAGACTTGTGGACTTCAACTCCCAGAATTCTATGCTGGCTGGAGAATTCTGAGAGTTGAAGTCCACAAGTCTTAAAAGTTGCCAAGTTTGGGGACCCCTGAAGTAAATGTTTTGGAACTACAATACTTTTGCATCACTAAAAGACTTTAATCAAAATGCTAGGACCTTGCTGAGAAGCCTTTCTGCCCTTAAGTCTCCCCATGATCTACTCAGATATGTTGTGTAGGGTATCCTTGTTTGACTTCACAGTTTCAGAGAGGGAGTCATGACATCTGTTGTTTCTCCACTTCCTCAGTTCAGCAAAAGCAGGCTCTGAAATTACCACGCCCATCCTGTTATACTATATGATTGTATTTTTAGATCAGAAATTCTCTCTCTCTCTCTCTCTCTCTTTCTTTCTTTCTTTCTTTCTTTCTTTCTTTCTTTCTTTCTTTCTTTCTTTCTTTCTTTCTTTCTTTCTTTCTTTCTTTCTTTCTTTCTTTCTTTCTTTCTTTCTTTCTTTTTGGTATCTCAAGTCTGAAATATTTTTGGAATTATTTTGAAGTGTAGCCAAGGGACAATTTAGAATAAACGGAACAAAAATATTGATTGAGATATCTGCTTCTGCTGTTAATAACTCAAGAAATGGAAAGCTCTGTTTAATTTTCCCGTTAAGAGTGTTATTTTGTCAAAGCCTCTAAGAATGATTGAGGAGTTTATTGGGAATAATTGTTCCAAGTGGCTGATACTGGAGGTCCCTATTCTTCAGCAGCAAACTGGTTTATTGGTTGACACGATCTTGTTAGAACTTGCCTTTCTGTTTCTCCCTTATCTTTTAACTTAATGATTTTCTGCATGCTCAGCACTTTCATAGGTAAAAACACTAGAACTTTAGTATTGGGAGCCTGGAGTGGCCAAAAAACCATAAATAGGGCACAAGAAAGGAGATTACATCATATCACTCCCGCTAGCAATCTCACAGGGAGAGCAGTTCCATTGGGAGGAGGCATAGCCATATACTGGAGATGGTGGGCTGGCATGGAGGCGATATGCTTACCTTAGTCTTTGTTCATTGTTGGCTCATCAGCTCTGTTCCCTATAAGCACAGAACAGTGGGTATTTTAGAGAAACAAATAGACCGGAAGTACTTATCCTTGGGGTTTGGCACTATAAGAAAGTGGAAATTCACATGCCCAAACTAACGCTTATCTTTTCCTCTTAATTACTGCTGCCTTTTGTGCATTGTGCATAGGATATCAGCCATGGGTTAAATGAGGTAAGTGATTGATTGTCAGAATAACAGTTTAGGAACCAGACACAACAAAATTAATTTCTTGGGCTTATTCATAGACCTTGAGATGACACTGATAATACCCACTTGGAAACTTATCTGGTCAGATCTGGATTATCACAGAAGAAACTGCATATAATTAATGTATAAATAATAAAGATTGCTCAACTGCATCTGTTGACTTGAACATTTAAATTTAACTTCTTGTTGTAGTCAACTTTTAGTTCGTAAATTAAACAATTTTTTTTCAGTTTTTTTCAAGTAATTCTCCCCCCCCCCCTTTCTTTTTTTAGGTGTCAGATGGACCAGTTACAATTTGCACCTATCCCTTCGTATTTGACGCCCAGGCAAAGACAACACTCTTGCAAACAGATGCAGTCCTGCAAATGCAGGTAAATTAATACGGCTTTACTATTTTTAAAATAATGTGCAAAGCAAGTATGATTATTCCTTGATTAATTTGACTTAAAAATGTGTGTGCTTTGCCTATTCAGGATAAGTTAACTTTTCCTGCATCTTCATTACTTGAAAGATGCTTTATAATCCAATTTCTTATAAAATGGAAACTCTGGGCACTGGTTTTGTCTGAGGATCACCCTTGGCATTGAGTAGCTTGCTGTGGCTATCACTTTTCAGAATGGGAAAAGATATTAGTGTAGTCAGAATCAAAGCTAAATATTATGTAATTCAATTGTCGTAAGTTCATGCATACCAATCACACTGTTCCCTTTCTGGGATAAGGAACATTATACCAAAAAAGTAAGAAATTATAAGCCAAAGAAATTAAGGCAAGATATGGGGGGTGGGGGAAGAAATATTGATAACTTTAGTTTATACCAGCACTATATCCGTCCATGTTTTGCCATCCTTGCAACATCTTTATTTCTACAAAATCTGTAAACTGCTTTTACACTGCCTTTTTGTATAAACTTTTCACCACTCTTTCTGAGGATCTCATTAACTGCAGTCATGATTTTTGGGCCTTCTTCTTTGCACATTCATTCCTCCTTCATGTATTTCTTTGCAGTTAATCCTTTATGGATTCCATCTGTCTGACCAAACCATCTCAAGTCCACATTCATTCATTCTTAATCCTATCTCTTTTTGTTCCTTCAGAAAAATCAATTTCTGCTGCATTCACTTTCTTTTATGTTTCCCTCTGTTTTGTATAGCAAAGCTATTCTATGTTTGACAGTCATTCTCTTCCTTACAGCAGATTATGTACTGTCCATTACTGTCTGAAATGGTGTAGGGCAGTGATGGCGAACCTTTTTGTTGTGGTGTGCCGAAAGCACATGCATGCCGGCCCTCACAATGCAATGTGCCCTGCACATGTGCATGCAACACCCCTGACTCACCCCCTTACCTGCACTGCGCATGCACGCACCTCCCAGCTGATTTTCAGCCTATTTGAAGCCCTTTCACTCTCACAGAGGCTTAAGGGAAGCCGAAAAACGGGCCTTCCGGAAATACTAGAAGTTCCCGTTTTCAACCTCCGGAGGGCCTCTGGAGCCCAGGAGTGGCCATTTTCACCCTCCCGGAGGCTTGAGGAAAGTCTCGGGAGCCTCAGGAGGCTGAAAACGGGCCCATTTCGGCACTTCCAGTATTTCCGGAAGGCCAGTTTTTCAGCCTCCCGAGACTGCAGAGGCTTCCGCCAAACCTCCGGAAGGGTGAAAACAGCCTCAAATTGGCCGAAAATCAGCTTGGAGGCATGCACGTGCACAGTGCAGTTAATTTGGGCTGGGGCTTGTGTGCCCACACAAATGGTTCTGTGTGTCATCTGTGGCACGTATGCCATAGGTTCGCCATCACAAGTATAGGGTCTCTTGCTTGAGTACGGGGGTGGACTAGAAGATGCAAAGTCCCTTCCAGCTCTATTCTCATTCTGATTCACTACATTTTTTTTTTATCAGCATGCAGATGTTCTAGTTTACCATTTATATGTAACTTTCAATTGTTCAGTTCATTTTCCTGTCCAACACAACTATCTCTATCTTTAATACATTGATTTTCAATTTAAATCACTAATTGCTATGCACAATCTCATATTCTTTAAATCATGAAGATTCTTAGCTCCCTACATGGATCATCTGCCTTAAAAGTATAGCTTGTTCAGATTCCCAACAACACTTCCTAATATCACTGTCAGCATGTAGAGTATGTTGACATAACCCATTCAGGAGGTGACTAAGATATGAGTGACGGAAAGCAGTGTGTCCCAGTCCGTAAAGGGGCACTGCTGGTGCACAAAGTTGTGCAAAAGCCCTCCTGGTTTTGACTACCATCTGCTATTTGAGTCCAGGAGGACCACAAGTTGCACATTAATTCCATTCATTGGATGGAAAATTCTTAGATCCGGAGAGCCCTAAAATTCACAGCCACTCAGTTTTGCCAGGGTTGAACTGATATCCCTTCTTCCCCATTGAACCCTGTATGGCCTCCAGACATTGAGACAGAATCTCCGAAACATCATTGGTCAGTCTGGAGTGGAAATATAAATGCTTCTTGTTGGTGTTAAATAGTCTGGGGAGAGTGCTAAGCCCTAAGGGACACTATCGAGAAGGGACTGTGGGTTTGATCTCTTCCCCCACCACCCCAATCAGCCTCACCCGGGACCAACTCTGGCTAATCCCCCACCCCAAGTCATCTGACCTTGTTCTTACATTATCACCATTTACCATCCACTCAGATATAAATCCCTAGATTTTTATGCACCCCGAGCAGCTTAAATGACACCAGTTTCTACTTTCTATTATACATTTTAAACATTTCATTCACAATGTCATCTATTCGTTTATGTTCTATATGGGTTTATCAGATGAATTCCACAAGAACAGTCTACCTTCAATGCAATCTTTTATATTTTTCCCCTTTCTCTTAATTTTTACTTTGCTAGTTTATCTGAGTTTCACAAATACATAGGTATTTTATTCATTTCTTCATTTTAATTTAGTTTCATTCCTTCTTTCATTCATTGATTTATGCCCTTTCCCATTTTACATTCCAATCCTAATATCCCATATCTTGTAATTGCCAACAGATAGGTTCATAACACTGAGCTCCATTGTTCATCATGGTTTGAATCACTTGAGTTTCCATGTAATATTTTTAGTAAGATATAAATGGTATACACCAGGATACCAGGATAACTCCAAACATTCTCAAGCTCTTCTGTGCAATCAGAGTCTTCAACGACAAGAGTATTTTGTAAGTCAGTGTTGTTGGCTTCATGCCACCAGCTTGGAGAAACGTATAGTGTGCTGAAACACACTCAACATAGTGCAGTTTAAATTTATAAAACGTAAGTTAATGAAATGCAGCCAGTATGGTTTTTCTCACAGTATTCCTTTAGTCATACTGAACATTGCAGTTTAATGGAAAAAAAATTGGGTGTCACGTTGATGAAGACTTGAGTCTTTGGGCTTCTGGCTGAGTTCTCTGACATCCTGTGTTTCTGTCACTGCGGTTGCCAAACAACCCCCGAAACATCATCATCATTATTGTGGAGCATTGATGAGGTCAGAGTAAGCTTTAGGCAGCAAGAAATTTCTTGGTTAGGAACAATGGGCTTGTTCATCTGGGGAGAGAAAATGGAGAGAAACTTTGCTCTAAGGGGCAAATGCTGGAAATCACCATTAATATAATTTTACTACTTGTGAAATTTCTTAAATGTCAACTCTGTCTTCGTCCCATGTTCACTACCATAACTGCTACTCCTAAGGCTTTTACTTGGTTTTTCCCAGATGGCTGTTGACCAGGCTCACAGACAGAATTTCTCATCTATTTTTCTCCCAGTATTTGAATCTGTCAATCCATGTCTGATCTTAATTGTGCGCAGAGAAAATATTGTGGGGGATGCCATGGAAGTTCTAAGGAAAACAAAAAACGTAGATTACAAGAAACCTCTCAAGGTATGTCATGTTGGCATGTTTAAAATTCTTGATACACACATCAACTTGCAACTGTGGTTCTCCCTCCTCTGCTCTTTCCCTTCTAAGGATTCCTCTTGGGAATGCCCATTTTGGGATGCCAAAATTTTGAGCGGAACAACAGCTGGCCCATAAAGGATTCTAGTAGTCCCAGCCATTCAAAAATACTATCACAATTATTTATGTTTTTTAAAAAACTGGAGTTTCATTAATGTATTTGAATATCAAAATTATTAGGAGCAATTTGAGATCCATGGCGAATTTGCTGTTTAAAAATATATATATATTCTGTTATCCATGCAACAAATCTGTACTTGAATGTAACAATTATAATTTAGCACGCTAACTTCATTGCCAATGTTAGGTTATTTTTGTAGGTGAAGAAGCTGTTGATGCAGGTGGAGTCCGCAAAGAATTTTTTTTGCTTATTATGAGAGAACTATTGGATCCCAAGTATGGAATGTTTAGATACAATGAAGATTCAAGACTGATCTGGTTCTCAGATAAGGTATGTAGTCTGTATGAGGGTTGGGTTTTTTTGCTAGTTTGGTGGCAGTGAATAGATTTTGGTTTGCCTTGCAAAGTGACCCTAAGTGTGGTTTTTTAAAAAAAGATTTATACCAGTTCACATCAACTGTTCTCTTGTGGTTCATGATGGGATTTCTGCACCTGGCTTTGAGCTTCAGCTTGGATGGGTTGTCTTCCCACCTTTCTAGGTTGGCAGCTATATCTGATTATGCACTTTCTTGCAGTGGGGTGGAGGAGGATCTATGTTTTGTACTTAGGTATGAGACTTCTAAGATGTGATTTGTTTTATTCTAGGAAAACGTATGTGCTGTTTTTCCATTAAAGTTAACATGCAGTTAATAGCGTTATATGAAAAACAATAGGATAAGCAAGAACAATCGTGGAACAAGTAGAGCTTTCAAAAAAAAAAAGCAAATAGTTGAATCAAAACTGGCACCACATGAGCTTCTAGAAAGATAATTTTGCAATGGAAGGGCAATGTGGAAAAGGTCCTTCCCCCAGTCATAATCCCCCAGTCCTGCTTCAGAAAATGTTTAGAATTGAAGAAATGATTGTATATGGCCTTTGGGAGCCATTTACATAGTCCATACGAGTCTTGCCTAGTCTCCCTTTCGCCTACTCCCAGGTAGGCTGCAAGGGACCAACTTGTAGAAAAAAGGACTGAGATGCATTGTATCCCTGAATTAAGAACTGTGTGGTACTTAGAGAGTGTGTGTTAATAAGCATATGTGTGCAGGCCCTTGTATATGTGTATGATCTATGTATAGGCGTGACCCTTAAAACCTGAGCAGCAATTTCAGAGCCCAGTGGTTTCTCAGCTCTGGATTACAGTAACACTTACAGGATGTTACTGGAGCCTAAGGATGATGGACAAAGTATTTCAGCATAGAAGAAGTTGCAAGATATATCAGTGTAACTGATGAATCGTACACAGAGTTGCATTGACCTCTTAAGGATGCCAGGTACAATGGGAGCCTTAAATTGCTAATTTGATACTTTGGGTATGAGGGGATCCCATTTACACTTTGAAGTACTCTGGGGTATCAAAGCACACTCTCCGTCTTCTTTCTTTGACCAATCTCATGTTGTGCCAGGCAACATTTGACTCCTACCCACATAGTGATCAATATCAGTTTGGGAGGATTGTTAAAGTAGACAATTGTTCTTTTTTTTCTGAAGGAAAGTAGCTGGTTAGAAGAATCTTCAATAACATAGACTCTAGTCTGAAACAGATGAGTTAATTTTTAGTATTTTGGCTTTCTAAAAGGTTCAAATTTTATTTTGAGGTTTAACATTTATTGAACACACACATTACTTGTAGAACTTAGATAATATGGAACAATGTATCTTAACATTATTTGCTTTGTTTTCTGTTGAATTACTTTTTGTTTGTGTTCACAGACCTTTGAAGACAGTGACTTGTTTCATCTGATTGGTGTAGTTTGCGGACTAGCAATATATAATTTTACTATTGTAGAACTTCACTTTCCACTGGCTTTATACAAGAAGCTTCTGAACAAGAAACCTACCCTGGAAGACCTCAAAGAGTTAATGCCTGATGTTGGCAGGTAAACACAATTGTAGTTGATATTATAATATAGATATTAAATTACCTGTGCTTTGGCTTGTTTCATTAGAGCTTTGGCTTGTTTCATTAGTGAAAAGAATTAAGTTCTGCAATGTTAATCAGAAGATGACGTATAAATGTTGTTTACTTTGTACTGCTTAGAGTGTTAATACACACACATTTGTGATTTAATCAATTTTGATTTAATTTCTTGATTAAAAACACAAATCTGATGATGAGAAGCATTTGGTGGCTATTCTAAGAAGTCGGCTATCAATTTTTGATTTGAGATCATTTATTCTCATCTGACCAGCCTGTTTTCTGGCTTCATAATTTTTCTGCAATCTGGGTAGAAGAAAAGGAGGACACTTATAGATGAAAGAGCAAACACTTTTTCCTCTGTTGTCAAGCGCAGACTTTGTAAGACAGAATAAGATGCTGAATGAACATATAAAATCTGCTTGGCATTTTTGTTGCTTTTCCCTAATTTGGAATTACAGTATAACTCAATTAAAGTTAAAACATTTTAAAAATGAGAAATTTTATTTGTGCATATCTAAAAGCACATCCTTTAAAACTTTGGAATAAAGGTCATCAAAATAAAAATAAGCAATGTAACAGGGTTTGCCTTAAGATAGTGTCATCAAGATGAATTTTTGCATAGTTGAGAATTATTCATATGTTGGAATGCCGGCACATTCTATAAAATGGTGCCTGGAATTAGAACAGGCACTGTTGTAGTACTGTAAATGAAATATGTACATATGGAGTGATTTCAGTCTAATTATCAAAGCAGCATGCACTTGTGGGGAACTAGCTAAGTTTGCAAAAGCAGAAAATATTTCAGGAGGTGGGGAGCATGAAAATCTCAAGGAAGAACAAATGTGGGATAACTGGGCTGAGAGTGCTTCCATTCTGCATTGCAATGTTTTGTGGATGTAATTCATTGTTCTCAGTTTTGGTAGAAGGATAGCAAAACCTTTCAAGTTTGCAGAGTCTAATTAAATTCTGCTGTTGCTGAAATGAAAGATTAGAATATTTTATTTTCCAGGAGTATGCAACACTTGCTAGATTATCCAGAAGACAATGTGGAAGATACCTTCTGCCTCAACTTTACGGTAAGTATTATATGTTAGCACATGTCTCAGTTCATTTTAAGTAGAATGAATATTACTCTACAAATAGAATACTTTATCGATCAAGCAAATTTGTCTCTGGTGCATAAGTTCTCAGTGTACATGCCAAAACAGCAAAATAATAATGTTCATAATAACATAATATGTAATTAAAACATAGGATAATCATAATAACGATACCAATAGAGAAAGTAGTGGAACGGATGAGAAGGATAAAAGTAACATAGCCATACTACATTTGATATGATGCTCTTTACAAAAACAATGTTGAAATCTTCTGCAGCAAACAATAAGATACTGTGTTCTCTCCTAAACAGATTACGGTTGAAAACTTTGGTGCCACAGAAGTTAAAGAGCTAATTCCAAATGGTGCTGATATCCCTGTTGTCAAACAGAACAGGTAGGTTTTAATAGTATATATTTCATTTAAACTGTGGCTTATGAAGCTGGGAATGAGCACAGGCCAAGTTTTCCCTTCTGTGCTTAATTCAGTGCTCTATCCTGTAATGTGCATGAAGCCATTAAAGAAGCTAGTGGTATGTTTAGTTAACCTACTTTAAACCAGATATAACAGGATATTCAGGCTTAATGTATTTTATAAATGAAGCTCTAGAGTCAGGAGGAGAAACGGCACTTCCATAACTATATCTGTCCATGATTTAGCTGAATCATAAGCCTTTGCCTGACAGATTATTTTGTAGAATATTTTGTTGACGGAAGAAGAAATGGTCATAAAATGAGGATAATTCCCATTGCTAAATGGATTATGTACTGGGTCTTTCTAAAGGGCTTTTCTTTTAATCCGATTTTAGGCAAGAGTTTGTGGATGCCTACGTGGACTACATCTTCAATAAATCTGTGGCTTCTCTCTACGATGCATTCCATGAAGGCTTTCACAAAGTGTGTGGTGGTAAAGTTCTTCAGCTGTTTGAACCTAACGAACTGCAAGCAATGGTGATTGGGAACACAAACTATGACTGGAAAGAACTAGAGAAGGTATGTGGCTCTGCCAGAAATTAACTGCTGTTCAGGAATTAAGCCTTCTGTTTGCCAAGGTTATTTTCCAAGATTTCTTGTCCTTCCCTATGCCCTTTGGTAACAGAGAATGTTTGTTACAAAAAGAAATTTTTTAAAAAAATACCTCTAAACTCACTATAGACATCGAACCTTTATTAAACTAAATATGATTGGTGGTAAACTTTCAAATAGTGGAAATGAAAATTCATGTATATGCTGCAGTCCTTTGCGTATTTCCCCAGGCATCTCATGATAAATATCACTTACATTAATAGAAGATTGTAGCTAAAGTTTTTAAATAGCTTATTTAAGCATGCATATTGCACAGTTCTTTACAGTGTCCTTGTGTGCACTTCATTATCTGATGGTTAACATAGTTTACCATTTGCAGGGGAGAAGGAAGAAAGAATCCCAGAGGCAATATTCTTTAATAGTATGGTTTTGATTTTTTTCTCTCCTTAGAATACTCAATACAAAGGAGAATATTGGGCAGATCATCAAACAATTAAATGGTTCTGGGAAGTTTTTCATGAGTTATCACTGGAAAAGAAGAAACAGTTTTTGTGTAAGTATCTTCATAAAATGAGTACATCTTGACCATTGTTAGCTGGGGTCCTAGTTGGTATATAATGCTAAATCTATCCTTATTCTTCTTTCCGACATAAGCAAGAGCCACCCAGAGTTATTCAGTTCTACTTTTAACAATCCAGAAGGCAGGCAACTTGCTTACCTTCCTTTTTAATGGTTTTTAATTAACGGTTGAATTTTTTGTTTCTGTCCTGTGTACACTGTCCAAAATCACATGCAAGTGAGGTGGGCAGCTGTATAAATTGAATGGTGTTGGTTTTTTTTTTTTTTTAATGAAAACCATTTCTGCTCTTGGAATGGGAAAGTCTTTCTCCCTCAGACCCAGTCCCTGGCATAAGATATGCAGAAGTAAAGAGTGGGTAATCTTACTGTAGAATTGGATGTCTGGTTATGTATTTTTGAGGATTGTCTTATGTTTCATTCAAAGAAGCCTGGGTCAGTGATCAGAGTTTATTATCAAACTACAATTCAAATAAACCAGAATTCCAGGAATATTGGAGATAACTTTGGGTAGAAAGGGATTTTTTTCACCTCTTCACACTAGAGAAGAGAACATACCAGCCTGAAGCTTACAGCAAATATTGTGATGGTAGTACATATGGGTCTGCCTTAAAATCTGAGCCAATGTTTCCTATAAAATGTTGAATGTGTTGTGGGAAACATAAGTAAATATATATTTAAAAAGCTGAGAAGCGGGAAAGTACACAGTGAATATTTCAAACAAATACTATAGACTATTATTTTAAGTTTTCTAGGAATCCTTAATATTCTCTTATTTTATTAAACATAACTTTATTAAGCATTCCTTTTAATTGACAAAAAATACAACATTCTTTTTTTACTCTTAGGAAAAGTCCAAACATTTTTTCCTCCTAAACTGAGGGATGTATTTCTTTAGCTTATTTTTTAGATCTAACACTGAGTTTTGAGGATGTGATGTTAAATATTGGGGTGATGGGTGGCAGCACTATGATAATAAAATCTTTCCTGTGGTTAACCCGATAGGATTCACTCCTTGAATACTAAATTCTTAAAGGTTTAAATAGCTTGTCTATCGGTTTCCTGATAGATTCCACAAACGTAAATAATTATGTATTTAGCCAAAAGTATTTTAACATAATACGTTAACAAAAATTATTTATATAGTAGTCCTGTATATCCCATAATGGTACTCTGTGATAAACTTTTGATATGTGACTTAGATTATTCCATTTTCTTTCTTTTTAGTGTTTTTGACAGGGAGCGATCGTATTCCTATACTTGGAATGAAGAGCCTTAGTCTTATTATCCAACCAACCGGAGGGGGAGATGAATATCTTCCAGTATCTCATACATGTTTTAATCTCCTTGATCTTCCAAAATATACCAACAAAGAAATACTCAGATCAAAGTTGATCCAAGCAATCGATCACTGCGAAGGCTTCAATTTAGTATAATGTAAAAACTCAGCACCATCCAATCATTTCATTGGGAACATTAAGCCAATGCTTAGATCCGCTTTGCAGTGTAAATGAGTGATACCCAAGTGGTGGTGATTATAAGAAGCTTGTTCATAAACTATGTTCAGTGATCTGATTCTTTCACAGGAGCCAAAAATCCTTATATTAATGATTGTCTTGATGCGAATTGCATTTTGCCATCTTAACAATAAAAATGCAATGTTGGAATAAACACAAGTTTCATAACTAAATTTTAGTACTTCACATATTGCAAAAATGTTGCTGTGTGTGTGAAAGATGTGTTTTTCTTTTCAAATCACTGAAAGTCAAATTAGATTTTCATTTTGTTAAGTTTTTTTTTAATATGCTCCAGCAGCAGTAAAGTATCTATTGCTTTATGGAATTGGGGCTGCTTTGTTAAAATAAACAAAGTTAAATAAATAGGAAGAGAAAGTAAGTACAACATATTTATCCATGTTTGGAGATGGGTTTGGTGAAGACACTGATTTACCATAACACAGAGGAAAATTTATATACATTTACATTTATTTACATATCAACTTGCAACTAGTTTAGCTTTTATAATGAAAGCAATCAAGAGGATGTCAATGCTATTTTCATTGGCAGTTCCTTCACATGTCCATGCAGTTGTCATTTGTTAATTAAAAGTATGAAAGAAAAATCAGCTTCTTAAATTTTGAGATTTGATTTGTGGTGATCCAAATAATACTCGGGTGTTTGGCATAAGTTCAGAATTATCAACACGTTCTTTTTTCCCTTGGACAGAACTAAGATTTTATCTTTCTTACTTTCAATTATTGGAGTAGCTTTAAAATTCTGGTTAAATTACTTTTTTTTAAGTTTTTTAAAGGACTTTGGTCATTGGAAGTGATGACTTTGAACCAAGCAGGTGCAATTACTGGGGGGGGGGGGGTTAAAGTTCCTGAATGTTTACATGTTATTAATAGTACGTGACTTTCAGCTGTGAAATATTTATTTTTTTTAGATTTATAAACTGCAGTGAAACAATTCAAGCCTAAAATAAAAATATTTGAATGAAAATGTTGAATAATGTATACATGTAAAAGTCTCTTTTTTTTAACATTATGGAGAAAATTTTCTTAGGTCATGTGTCCCAATTGTTTTAAGATGAACATGTGTTCAAACTTTATTTGGATCTTGTCAGACGTACTCAATTCAGGTCTGCAGAAATAATGTGTAAAGGCATCACCTATCTTGAAATCCCTGGAAGGAAGAAGTTAAAAAGGACCTTGATGGTCTTGTAAGTCCAATGCCCTGCTCAAACATTAGCAACTGGTTGTCCAATCTCTTCTTAAAAACTTCCAGAGCATCCACAACTTCTGGAGGCACTGATTGATTTCTCCTTAGTTCTCTCCTTGATTAGTTTCCATCAGTTGCTTATCCTGTCTTCAGGTGCGTTGGAAAGTAGGTTATTTCCTCTTTGTGGCAGCCCCTTAGATATTGAAACACTGCTATCATGTCACCCCCTAGTCCTTTTCATAAAACTACACATAAGAGTTCTTCAACCCATAAACATGCATGCTTATGTTTTGTTCTTTGCCTGCTTTGCAACAGAACACCAAACAAGATAGCCTGGTGTGTGACAAAACTTAGGTTTATTTGACTACCGCTAAATTTGTGTTTTTTTAAAAAAAATTGCTGTTATAGGACCCAAGTGATAAACTTGAATTGGTTTCATTATCAACAGTGTAGCATATAGACAGAGGGGCATTCTCTTATTTAATCAGAATCAATACGTTGTGGAAAATTAAAGCATTTAACAACAGGTGGTATAAAATTGTTTCTCTTTGGAGAGGATCATACAAGTTCTGACTTCAGAACGGTGGTTTCCAATCTTTTAGGTACCATGGACCAGTTCCGTGAAGGGGAAAAATCATGGTTTTATGTGCTACCTAGATTTCATGCACGCAGAGATGAAGCTTTGCTCGCTTGTGAGGCCCAAGCCGTAGACAGGTACTGATCTGCAGCTTGAGAGTTGGGGATCCCTGCTTTACAGGATATCACAAGGACTAAAAACTATTTTGCCTGACCTGATTAGAAATGTGCAAAATGGTTCCATGAGTGATCTTTTATGTCCATACATTAGTTTCATCTGTGTTTGGATCAAAGCATATGTATTCTGAGGTCTTTTCTGGGGATGTAAAGGGCATTTGGAAAAAGCCCAAGGGTAGTAGCTATTTGGAAGTAGAAAAAGGAGGTAATGGTATTGTAAGATATCTAAGATGAAGAGAATCTGCAGCCTGTTAATATTTGCAAATCAGCAACAGACTATGGTTCACCTCAAGCGTACCGTATCCAATCTGTCTCTTCCCTCAGGACAAGATACTACCATAGCCTTACCCCCACCCCTAAACCATCAGTAGTAGAGGTACCTCACTTCAATAGGACCCAAAATTTGAAAGTTGTCTGCTCTCATCATTCCTAGTACTTCCTGTTTTGCTAGTATCAAGACTGTATACCCATTGAAGGTAAGTACATGATGTTATCAGATAGGAGCAAACCACCGGAGGGACAGAAAGCCCATATCCACCATTGGTAAACAGCATATGTACAATAGACAACAGGCTCAAGTGTCTGAACCAGTCAGAGTCTGACCATCCAGTGAGGAAAGCATACCATTATTAAGTAAGTTCCCAGTAATGATTTAAAAAATGGCATAAAAGTCCATGGAAGAGTATTTAATGTAAAAAAAAAAAGCTCAATCTACAAATAACTACAAATTCCCTCCAAGTTGCTATGGTAATTTGGGTAGACAGACCAGCCAGCCTCAGTAGACATTGCTTGCCAGATGTCTCCCCACCCTGAGGGTAGAAGCTTTTGGCCTGGCCTTTATTGCATCAGAGATCTTGCTCCTAGTTTTAAAAGTGACTGGAGCAATATGGGAGAAGCAGCAAATTGCTTCTCACCAACTGTATTACTTTCCATACTTAATAACACACTGCATGCACACATTTGTTAACAGCTTCCAAAAGTTAATAATGTAATAGATTTAAATCAGACTGAGTATAAAACACTGGTTTTGTATTTCAAAAGTTGCAGGAAGAGAGCTATGTCAATTTAAACAATCTTCTACAAAACATCTGCCAGTTGGTTACATAAAAGACACTATATACAATATAAAAGCAGAAAATAATCCACACTGTAAAAATAATTTAAAACAAAATATTTCCATTTAAAATATCTCCTATAGCACAAATACAGTTTGACATGCATGCCAAGCTAAACATTGCATTCTTTAAGTGTAGTTGTTCAAGTTCTATTTATAACTTGGACAACAAGAAAACATGCCAACATTTCAAATGAACACAAAATGCCATTTTTAACACTTCATTATGCCGTGTTACAAATTGGATGTACTGACTGAAAAGAACAGCTCTATACATATTTCAAAATGGAATATTAAAGAAATGCAAAAGAATTATTGGCAACTGGTGTAACTACGGATACAGCTGAAAAGTGGTTTCAAGAAGAAATTAAAAAAGCTAGGATCAAATGAAGCACAAAGGACTGAGACAACCTACAGCGGTAACATTTGACACATCTATTTCAAGAGGCAGTTTTGAAGCAGCTTTGGAACTCCTTTCAGTTGCTGCCTTTTCTACATCAATCTATCAAGGAGTGGTATGAGGTTCTCTGAACAGAAGCCTTTAAGCAGCACACTTTAAAGTTAAAGTGAAATTGAATTTTCTGTTTTACTGGATGCATGAGTAGCTCTCGTTAAATGTTTGTATAAAAGTACTGAAAAGTATAGAAACACTTTTGTTCTTGGGCAAAAATTCCATCTATATCCTGAATATATATATACACCTTCCAACACTTAAATATTCACATCTTGGCAGTGTACACAAAGATTTTATACATTGTTTTATATACCAACTTCCTGCACTAAATACTCATGTTAACAGGGTTAATGATTTCTTATCTAATACTTTCTTCCTGTAATTTTGGAAGCCAATAAGCATTATTATGTATCTACAGAAAGTTGCTTTATTTTAGCTTTTGTTTTAAAAATAGCATTTTCATTTATTTAAATAGTTTTTTAAAATGCTATTTTCTAGTAATCTAAGGAATTTTCAGATGCTCACTGATGTCTAATTAACTTCTAATATGATTGCATGCAAATATACCCAACATGAAGAGTTCAGAAAACAGCTGCCATAGGCATTTGGGGAAAATCTTCATATTTAACAACATATTCTTGCAGCAGCAGACTAAGGAGACATAAATAAACTGAAATGATGCAAAACAAGAGAGGTATGAACAATACCATTCTTTGGTCTAGATTAGCTGTTCCCTTTATATATTAATATTATGATGGCTTTTTAAATGGTTCAGAAATAACACAAGGTGAAATTTATAAAGCCAAAAATATTGTATATGTGTGAATACATACACAGACACACACACACACACAACACATATTAATAAAAATGAAAGTAGTGACAGTAAAAGATACTTAGTACCTTCTACAAAACTTAAAATGCAATAAAGATTAGTGTTGAGTGTGTCTTTATAGAATTCAATTGGAAAAGTTAGAAAACTATGCATGAAAATCTACTCTAATGTTTATAAACATTGTTGTTTGCCTTGTTCTGAATTCAGTACACATTCATTCCAATATGCCCGAAATTGCTAATGCTGGTGGAAAAGTTCCTGAAATAAATCAGTAATTATCTTACAACTTGTCTGATAAACTGTCAAATTCTACTGTCTGATTTATAGAAATTGATTCATCGACAGATTCTGGAAGGTCAGTTCCATCTTCCTCAAATCCATTCTCCTCTTCTCTGTCAGGACTGTCTGCCTCCTCCTCCTCCTCTTCCTCCTCCTCCTCTTCTATGCCATTGTAATAGTCTTCCAGTTCACTCTCCTCTTCCACATCTAAGCTTGGGCTCCGACATGATCCACTACCGCTGCTACTTCCACAAGAGCTGGAGGAGATGACATCATCTTCAGAGTCTGAATAAACTTCAGCACCATGGAAAATATAGCGATTTGGTGGTGAAAACAAATATTGAGTACCTGAAACAGGTTTGATCAACAACGAAGGAAAAAAAGAAGGCATCATCATTTAGAATACAATCATACATAAATGCATCACACTTAAGGTTCTGCGTTCTCCATATCTTATATTTTTATAAGGAAACAATTATTTGTGTCAATATATGTGAAGCATTGAGGGAAAACTATTACAATGCAGCACTAAATTAATTTGCTTTTCTCCCGCTCTCTGCTTTCCCTCTTGCCTTTCATAACTACTTAATAGTATATTGATGTTTATTGCAATTTAGTTTCAAATGCTTCAGAAACACACTTTCCAAATGCTATACACAATGGGCTCAGTCTTTCTGAATTAATTTTAATTAGAACAGTCCAAATTTTTCATTATACAGTAACATGTACATTACATCCCTGGCTCTGATCTATTCTATTTATGGGAGGCCAGATTCTAAGACTTTTAAAACAAGGCAAACATAAAAAAAATACTTGTTAAATTTATTTGCTGCCCATCTCCGTATACCGATGTATCATACATCAGTATGATAACCCAAAAGATGGAGGGGTGAAGAGCACGGAGCATGGAGGAGAAGTGGAGTCTGCCATCAATCTAGCAGCCACCTCCAGCGTGGAACTCCCCCATCTGGTCCCCAGGCCAGTTGCTCAAGCCAAGTCTTCCTCAAGCTGTTGTGGAAGCATAAAA